CCCCAAAACCCCAAAACCCCAAAACCCCAAAACCCCAAAACCCCAAAACCCCTTCAATCTGAAAATATGTTGAATCTGTTTATTTGGAGACGAACAGATTTAAAACTGAAAATAGTCAAACTATCCAGGAGCCTCTTTAACAAGGGTCTTCATAGTGTAGCCTTCGAGGTTAGTAGCTAAAGGAATTGATTTGGTAGTCTTGAAAGCAGGCGCTGAGTTAGAGTCTTCTATCAGGTGCTCAATATCTCCCCTCGGTAAAGCCTTTATTTTAAAAGAATTCCGTAAATCCAGATCTTCAAAGTCGTAATCTTCAAAATCTTGTGAGGAGGAATTAGAGCTAGATTCCAAATCAAAATGGATTTCAGGAAGAAATATCGATGAATCAAAGCTTTCTCGTCTCTTTTTAGAGCTTTTCTTCGATCTTTTCAACCCCCTTCTGAGTTCTATATTGGTCAACGAACAGCAGTTACTCGATTCCTCTTTGGAAGCTCCTTTAGACGTCATTTTAGGAGAGGCCTTATTCTCCTTATTATTACCGTTGAAAGATTTTGAACGAACATAGCTCTCTTTAGCTTTCATTAGAAGCTCTTCAGTATCTATATCATACTTTTGTTGGAGCTTGAGGACATTTCTTAGGTTCATGTTCTCCATTTGGAGGGAATATATTAAGGTATCTGCATCTTTGTTATAAGCATCACTGCTCCACAGGGTTTGTTTTATCGCAACAATAGCGTTTAGTAATTTCTTGTTAAGCATTTTGTTATCTTTCTCTTTATTTGGCTCTCTCCTTCTCTAATTTTGTCAACTTTTCTCTATGCCTATCCTCTTGAATGACTTTATCTAGCTTAAGTTGTTCTATTTCTTTCTGGGCTTGCCTAAGTTTCTCTGTAAGTTTTCTTGCTCACGACTTGAGAACGATGCATTCATCACAAGCATGAGCATCTTTAGTAATTTCTCTGACGGTGCACGCTTCAGATTTTTTGTTGGATAAATTAATATCCAATCTTTCCATGTTTTCTGAGCCTTCTTCTCTTTCAAAGTCCCCATCTTCTGTTTTTCCAGAGAAGAGGCTCACTGCGGAGTCATGAGGGTGAAGAAAATTTGCCTCTCTCATTGGTGATAGAGCAATTTTATCCATTGTTTTAGTAAGAAGATCTCTAGAGTCAGAACTTTGGAATTCATTGTAAGACACTCTGAGCATCTTGGCTCCATAGATTGGATCCATAGTTGCATTCTTGCTGACTTTATCAATTCTTTTATCCTGTATTCTCCCTTTAAGCTCATCATTCTGCTTCTTGATAGAGTTCAGGAGTTCTCCAAGATCCCCTTCGATAGCATCATCAAGTTCTGTAAGCTGGTGTGATGGTACATTGTCGCTGAAATGGGAGGTTGTACTAGGATTTTCTGAGAAAAATTTAGGGACTTTCTCACTAATGCCAAGGAAAGGGACCCTTTCTTTTGCACTCATCGAAAGCTGATTCCTACTCCCATTCTCTAGTGAATTGACTACCTTAGCTGCTACTGGAGTTGGAGACCTCTTATTGCCATCTTTAGATGTAGATTCTGTGATCTTTTGGTTGATATCGAAAGTCCTTGTCTTAGAAAAGCCCATTCTTGACCTCGAGGTAGGCACTTTTGCAGAATTATTCCTGATCTTCTTGGCCACTTTTTTATTTTTCTTCTTAATGGGAGCTTCCCTTTTCACTGGCTTTATAGGCCCCTTTGCTAATTTACTAGTGTATAATCTCTCATAAACGCTCATTTTAGGCTTGCTTTGAGAGCTTGACAACTGCTGACTTGGCTTCTTTTTGGCTTTATTAGTGATTTTTCGGACAATAGCATTCTTCTTAGGTCCATTAATGATTCTAGTGATGCCTTTAACCTTTACTTGTTTGGGCTGGATCCGAGAAGGCTCTTCTGAATGATCACTAAATCTGAATACTTTGGGACACGGTTATCTTCAGTGTATCTAGCAAATTAAACAAAAGCAGTACCGGTGGATTTAGAGTACATGAATGCTAAACATTTTTAGACTTTTAACTTACTATTCTCCTCTGGCTTGCTCTGAGAATGCGCTTGAGATTGTCTGTTTCCCTCTTCTTTGCTCATTTTGATAAATTTTATTACAATATAATTTAAAGGGGTTTTGGGGTTTTGGGGTTTTGGGGTTTTGGGG